TCTCTGTCTGTCTATCCGTCTGTTTGTTTGAACGTATGTACACTGTACAACAAGTATACTTGTTTCAAACTATAGCCCTACTTAAGCTTATTAAAAGAGATGCACATTTTTACATGAGAGTGTGGACTGATCAGACGTTATAGCATTTGCTGTTTTGCCATGGCAATGCACCCTGCAGTGACGAGAAATATCCCATGAAAGCATTTCTCACTTCCATTCCACTTTTGGCAGCTCTGCTCCTCATAACCTCTAGTCTGTCGAACGTTGGTAGGCCTGCTCGTGGCTCAACCACGTCATCCTCAATGTGCCGTAGCACCGATCTTCTAGGTTCTTGCATGATATTGAAATTGTGGAGCACTGTGATTGCCTTGACTGCATCTGTTGCCGACTCTGGCTGTTCATCCATTTGGCGCAGGAGTATAAGCCACATTTGGGAAATCCTACCAAAAGAGCATTCAACTGAATTCCTCGCTCGTGATAGGTGATAAAATTGAAAAGCTCTTTCTCATGTGTTAATCATCTGTTTGGAAATGGCTTCATCAAATTTTCTCTCAATGGAAATGCATCATCTGCTACGAATGCAAATTGGAGGGTTGTGCCACTGTCTGTATCCTGTGGTAAATCCCGCTTGTGAGCAAGCAGTCTTTTTCCAAATTCAAACGCTCTTTTGCTGACAGGGGTTTCCAGAAATTGGTAGTTCGCTTCTCTATGTAGGGTTCAAGTTTGTCCAATAAGAGCTGAAATGTGGAGGGTCTCATCCGGATATATATCAAGCATTTTTCTTCGTCTGAAAGGATTTCTGCCATCAGGTGATGGTATTAACCAATATGCGTCTCTCTTTTTATTGATTCTATGTACCCAATATCTATGGCGGGATCGTCTCCTGTTATGGAGCCATGAAAGCATCAACAATTGAAGAACCTCTTTAGCCATCCTCATTGACTGGCAATTGGCCGAATTAACCGACTGAACCGAAAGACGCAGCCACTGTGTTCGCTAGAAAAGAAGTCGGAACAGACGCGGCGAGTAACTTGAAAGTGCATCGCTGCAGCTGCGGCCACTGTGTCTGCGCACTTACTCTGCTCACCTCTCTAGCTTCAGCAGCACAAAGTCTGCTTCGACTATCAAGGCACCCCGGAAACAGCGGGTCACAAGAGTGTAACAAACATACATACAAAAGAGGTAGAGGAAAACGACGATAGTAAGGATTAGGAAAGAAAAAGCAGCTGTTCCCTATTGTAGTTCAGTCACAGTTATGAGCAAGATATTGTTAGATCAGCCTATTTACAATTCTACTGTGCACTAGAACGAGAAATGTCCCCGCTTTGGGAATAGCCTAAAGACACTTCAGTCTGTGGCACCGCCCCGGGGGGTTAAAACAACTTCTCCAAAGGAAATCGCACTTCTGCAAGCAACGGAGAAATCAGTGGGAACTGCATGTAACTGACCTAGACAATGACCTACACAGCGCTGCAATGCTGTCTTGTGTAGACATTTTTAAAATAGGATATAAGTTATAACAAAAATCTTCAACCTCATGCGTAAAGATTTTCATTCCCACCAATAACTACCCCCTTCCTCCAGGCACAGCCTCAACCGCTTTATCAAAGTAAGCATAATCACGAGCAGAACAAAGTGTACAAATGTAGGCCTACTAAAAAAAAGAAAACAAATCCTTCCCTTTCATACCGGGCACCTGCATACTTCTGACTTCTGGTACCTGTTGGAGTTTAGTCAGGTTCATGTGGTACGTGTGTTGGTAGGCCGACATGTTTCTGGTCAGGAATGTGATGAGGTCCAATTTGTGTTTATTGGCATTTCGCCAGGTTCATGTTATAATGTAGGCCTACATGTTGTAATCTTTTCCCATTTCATTTTGCGCATGTAATGTTGGCGTTTGGTCAACTTTATACACATGTAAAGTACATGTTGGCGTCTGGGTGGTTTATACAGTGACACTCGGATTCAACGAAGTCGTCGAGCTTGACCTTCAATTTTGTTGAATCTAAGGGTTAGTTTATAATAGCAAACATGAGGTTTTTGTGTAGATAATGACAGGCACTGGGGAAAAAATATATTATAACGGGGAGTTATATAAGTATTAGTAATAAGTGGTAGGGTATCCTGAAATGCCTGCTTTTTGCCCCTTTTCGACTTGATCAGTCAAAAGTAGTTTGGTTTCAAATGATAGTCATTTTCGTTTAATAGGTGCCAAACCGAAGAAATGCTGGAAAATCCAGGAAAATACACCGAGCTCTCCCATGCACACATTGTGCATAACGGCCAATTCGTTCAAATGCAAACCTGTGTCATCTATGACGAACTGTTTGCTGAACAAGCTATTGTGTTGATGTGTACAGCCTAGCATACAGCAACTCATGATTCCACCGACCAGCACGGAATTCGTTCAAAAATAGCTTTTCCGTATTATATTGATTGGTAGCCGTGGAAAAAAATAATTGACGCTTTTGTATTTTAGTAGATTGATGTTTCACGCCGGGACCGCTTGTGCTCCCCTCCGACAAGATACACGAACACACAGTTACACGTGTGCTGGCCCCTCGTCCGACTCCGACACACTCTAAAAGTTAAAAAGGCGTGCTCGTGCCAACAGCACGTGTGTTAGTGTGAAAGAAGGCCACTGATTGGTCGCATGAGATATACACAGGCTAAGCGAATAATGGTTAACGATGCAAGTGCCATGAATGGATTCCACGAATATATATAATTGAGGGAGGAAAATGAAGCAAGCCACGTAAGCAGGGACTTTTCACCCTGCCTGCAAGCGACTTAATTGAATCCGAGTTTGCTCCTTTATCATACTTTGTGTTCGGTGAATCCAAGTTATAGTATAAAAAAAAATTAATTTAAAAAATAATAATAAACGGGGAATCCATCTCTTTTTGTTGAATCCGAGTTCTACTGTGGTAAATGGCGGTATCAGGCCCGGTTCATATGATAAACTTTTTAAGTTTTTAGTTTTAGTAGAGGTTTTACGGCGCTCGCAACGGCATAAGGTCATAGGAGCGCCAGAAGATTAGAGGTGTTACAAGAGAGTAACAAACATAAAAATAAAAAAGAAGAAGGGGAGATAAGGACGATAGATGTTTGATAGGAAAGAAGAAGCAAACCACACTAGAGCACCCGCCAACCACCCACATATGATGATAAATGATGGTGTCTGGTCTGGTTCATAATGATAAATGTTGGCGTCTGGTCTGGTTCATATGATAAATGATGGCATCTGGTCTTGTTCATATGATAAATGTTGGCGTCTGGTCTGGTTCATATGATAAATGATGGCGCCTGGTCTTGTTCATATGATAAATGATGGCGTCTGGTCTGGTTCATATGATAAATGATGGCGCCTGGTCTGGTTCATATGATAAATGATGGCGTCTGTTCAGGGTCAGTATCATATAGTACATGTTGGCATCTGGTCTAGGAAAGCTGAGATTCATAATCTTCATAGAGAAGTTTTGCGTTGGCAAGCAGCAGGATTTTACATGTTAGTAGTAGTAGTATAGGGTTTTACGCCGTTGTCATTCATATGAGCGGTTTTACATGTTATATCTACAAAGCCAGTTGCTGACTTGCAGTAGATCCCCGCACACCGGGTGGGGTGGATGATAACTTATTTAAATGCTTCTGCATATATTGAGGTTCTACATGTAGCCTACATTGTCACTTGGCTTGATACAGACCAATCTCTGGGTATTATATTCAGTATAATAGCCACCACCATTGACTTTCCCTCACCAATTTATGTAAACCACAACCAAGAAGAGATGGGAATGCAACCTTTTTATGAAATCATAAAGGAAAGCAAGGTTAAACCCAGGGCAAAACTGTCAAAGGCTAATCTGTTCTCACAAGAGGGACAAAAGGAATGTCATATGTAGGCCTATGTAAACCTATAATACCTTGGAAAAACTGTCTTTCATTTAATCAAAAATAAACTCATCCACACAATAAAGCTTAATTACTACAGGGAAATTGTAAAATAGGCACGATATGGGAAGAAAGGAAGCATGACCTACAAATGACATCCTCCAACCACCTATACAGACACAAGTGTGATGTACTGATGACCTGATGTACACACGCTGGCAACAGGGTTGATGTTGAGACAAGGAGAGACAGCCATAAAGACCCTCACCAAAAACAAAATCAGTCAAAAGCAACACTCAGAAGTAGAAGATGCAGTTTTTCCCCTCTTAGGAAAAAAGATGTAGACTACCGTACTTGTACAACTACTATAATCACTTTTCACGTAAAAAAAATACCATGAACTTCATTAAAATTAATGGATACACCTCTCTGTTGATGCGTGTAAAATAGGAAAAGCTTTACGCTCTCATTGACAAATTATAGATCTTTCATTAAGGCAGACTTTTGAACCCGCCTTTTTTTTTAACGGCCCTTGCAACACCAGTCTGTCAGGGCCAACCAAGGCAGAATGGGATACAGTATCCCTGCAGACAGATAAAGATACTACCTTGATATCCCCACATCAGAATTGCACTCAAATCCTGAGTGTGCAAAGGCAAAAAAAACTTTACACCTCTGTGGATGTTTTGGTCCCTTGGCAAGTCCAAAAAAATGGAGGAGTACAACGAAGAACTATATCAGTCAGGTTCACTTTTCTTTCTTTATGGTACCATATCCATTATATCTATGGCATCCTATGTGTAATGTATGTTTTACACCCCTATATAGACACAATTTAGATCACATTGGAAGGCATCACTTTTGACTCCACCAGGCTGTAGCCAGGCTGAAAAGAATACAACGTCCCAGCAGAAGGGCGGGGATTCTCAATAACCACCCCATTCATCCTCTGCCCAGGAAAATAGAATTCATGTCTTCCTCAAGACTTCAGGCAATGGCGTTGAGCGTAACACTAATACACCACAGATGTTGGTCTTTGTCTTCCTTCGAAAGGCTTTTCAACCACTGATCACGAGGAGACATTAGATCAAGTACACAAAACAGACGTGTCATTTTATTCATGTTTTTTTAATTGTAAGCAAATACAAAAACCTGTGTGAAGCACCCAATAAATACACTGGGAGACAAGAAAGGGAGAAAGGTCGGCTGTGTACAGACTGACATGGGCTCATCGACACACTAGAAGCATGATGACGTGTTCTTACAGGCCACCCTGGCCGGGCTAAGCCTGCGTTCCTGTCAACTAGACAACTGCTACAAGGGGGAAACACACTGGAATCTACTTGTAGCCAACAAAACAAAAGGAAAGAAAGAAACAAAACAAGATGCATAAGACAAAATCAAATTGAATCTAAATAGCTACAAGTAACATAAAAGTTCCTATAGATATATATAAATGAAGAAACTAATGGTAATTAGGATATTTTGCACAGCGTAACAGCTTTCTATCTACAAAATTGCACAGTTTTCACTAACAATCAAATAAATATCAATTAAAAATCTGGGTTATGAATATGACACTAGTTCAGTTTCCTCTGAGCGCCGTAGAATTCCTCAAAGACGTATAAATCCCAAATACATGTAATTCATGCAGTTTTTTCCTTTATTTTTTAGATAGCATTAGAATTAGAATATCACATTTTTTGGTCCCTACAGTAGAGCCACAGGAAGGTTCCATAGTCTTCAATGAACCTAAAATGCATATTCTCCCCCCCCCCCCCCCCCATTATAGGCTCTGGAATAACCTAGATAAAAGCTTCCTTCCTCCTCATGGTTTTTCCTTGATGTCCAGAACTTTCCTTGTTCTTATAGATTTAATCAACACGCTGAAGCATGACAAATCAAAAGGAAAAATAAACTCAATAAAACAAAGGAAAATTAATCTTACTATAATTTTAAAAAAAAGAAAGTGACATCCCCCTCCCTAAAACACAAATTTCATGTACCAACAATATGAGATACCAGATCATTCACATCTTTTTATTCTAGAAAAAAAAAAAGGTAGCAATATACAAACAGAAAATACATCAAAATAGTAACTCCTGTATTGTGGTGTTGAATTCTACTACAGTCTTCGTCTTGTGTGAATAATGTTCATTTTCTATGTACTGAATATAATAATGGTTTAGTTACAAAAATTATCTGTCACTACAGCCACTACATGAGCCATGGAGGGCACGACCCTTCTAGGAAACAAAACAGGAAAACTATCTAGGAAGCGTGAGGAGGAGGAGGAGGAGTCAGAGGCGAACACAAGGGTCGGCGAGGTGCCACGTACAGAACAACAGATGAAAAAAGAAAACAGAAAAGGCCACAAAAGACATGAAGCAACCAGGAGTATGTACAAATGATAGCCATCCAAATTTTGAGACAAAGGGACATGGGTGAACAAAGAAATATTTCAGTACATTAAAGTTGTTTTTCATTCATCTTGGCAGTGTTGTCATCATTGCAAGCTGGATTCTCTGTTCTTTTTGTTGTCTCATTGATATATCATGACCAGTTTAATAATACCTTTCACTTTCCAGATTTTGCCACGAGTGAGACTCGAGAAGTCTGCACGCATTTCTGAGACAATCGAGTTTGTAACTGTTCAATAAATGGCCAAAAAGAAAATGAGTGCTTATGATTCAAGAATATATCTTCCATAAAGTCGTAAAAAACACTTGAACATCAATGGAGAAACATCTCTTGAGAAAAAAAAATACTGCACACGACACCGACTATAGACCACCAAAGAGGAGTAACATTTACTACACATGTGATAGAGCTGGCGGAAAAACTTTCTGATTTATTCACAGACTACAGCATTCTTTCCCTTCACTTGTTCCTCTTATGCTACTGTGCTTGAACCAAAAAGCAAGCACACAGGCGCAATTTTATCTACAGCATGTACACGTCCGTAGAGAGAACACATAGGAGACTCCTGGTTTTGCTCTGTGTATGTCGTCCATTGTGAATGGTTAATGAGCTATGACCTGGAGTATTCACACTGATGAAGGATGACGCGCCAAAAAATCCTGGAAGGTTTCTAAGAAGCCAGGTGAAATGGCTGGAACACCTTGGTAGTCAGGACCTTGCATAGAGGGATCTTGTAAGTTCAAGAAAGAAATTTTCTTTTACATTTAGATTTGATTTTTTTAAATGCTCCTAATAGACTATTTTTCCTGGTCAAACTTTGTTTTGATTTTGATACAAGAACCTCCATGTTGACTGTAATAACAAAAGGACTTTTCCTTAACAATGAGCATTTTAACATGAAGGTAGATGAGACTTTTTATTTCTTTACAACATCTCGGCAGTGTAGGTGAATTTGGTCCTTGTCTCTCAAGCAATTCTGAGAATTGCTGCAAGACAGATGAAGTAATACTGGAAAGAACTTTAAAATCTATGCACTCTTATCAGATGGTAATAGTCCCAACACAGAATGCTCAATGCTTACAGCATTAATGATCTCAGGGAATGTTGCACTGAACAAAGCTTTGAAAAGTCTATGAGAGGGTCAGAGGAGGAGAGAAAGATGTCTAAACAACAGGCAGGGCTGCAGATCTAGGCAAGATCTTCCACAGGCAAAGCAAAAGGATATGAGTGCGACAAAACAATCAGGCACAACACTGTTACTTATGGAAATCCGTTAAAACCACAGCCTCAAGTCAATAACATTGTCCGTTCATCTTCACAGTGAACAATGCTTGGTAAATTTCCCAAACTCTGTGCCGGAAAAAGGGGCAGCTTTTCTTATATGTCAAAGCAACCAAAAATATTTACGTGACACTCATACAGGTAGGAGTCCAATACGTGAAGGGAGAACCCATAGAGGAAAAAATCCTCACACTAGAAACATGAAATAGGACAACTCCATGAACATCCAGAAAAAGCAAAAATTTAAAACATCTTTGTTCAAGCACACAGCGCAGCCACCCATCACTAGTATCCTGTCTACAATCATACCTATTCACACTATAACTTGTCCTCGAAAAAATGACGGTAATTTGTAATGAATGACAAATGGCCACATAAAAATTTCTACACTCAATTCCCACCATCCATTCCCACCTTAAATGACCAGCAAATACGTCTACGCTTCAAGTTTTCTTTGCAAAACACAGAATGAAGCTGATGAACTTGAAATGTAAGGGGGACGTACATAAACAGACCTCCTGAGATTCAGCCATGGATAAGCGCTAATGAACATCCCCACAAACTATTTTGTTACACTTATGCTTCCACAGAAGCACAGGGGATTGAGGAAGGTAAAAATAAATGTGAATGAAAACAACAAAAAAACTTGCTGGTTTTTATAAAAAGCGATTTGTTATTGACAATTTCTTGAATGTTTCTAAGACTACACAATGAAATGGCGACTACTTCCTCCGGGAGAAAAGGCCGCGTTTCTTGGGCTCCTCCTTCTCAATGCGAGCTGGCAAGGTCTGTGACTTGGTGGGCATGGCCCCTGCTGATGGCCCAGCCGCTTGGTTGATTCGGTTAATCCACATGTCTCGCTCACCCTGGGAGAACAATCACATAACATATGTAAGAAAAAGATATCGCATACGAATTCATCTCTAATCTCTTGACTTTGCTTACCCTCAGATTTCTCACAATCACCAAAATGTGATTCTGCATTCTTTCTCTACTGTCATCTTCATACATGTACAGTACTATAACTTCACTTATAGCAATATCGACTCAATGCCATACACAAATGCATGAAAAGAAAGCAAGCAAAATAGAAAGAGACTTCAACCTCACTGCCCTGTCTAATATGAATGTAACAGAGGGTTGACTTGAATCTTTGAGTTTCGGGTGTTGAGTCTGAGTCTGCATTTCAGGCAGGTAAAAAGTAAGACAGAAAGATGGAAATAACAGAGGACCTATCCAGAGACACTGTCCAACCACTTACAGGTAAAATGTAAGCGTAAATAAAACACAAGATCTGATTAACAGAACAAGGGAGCTGTGAAAAAAAAATCGAGAATGCGAGAGACAGTCTCCTTTGCATGAAGTGCAACCAAATGCTACAACTGCCACACTCAACTCGAATTTCGCCTGGAAGAGATTCACGTTCATGGAAAGGATGAGAGATAGAAATAGCACAGACAAAGAATAGAACTAGGCCCTACCAGAAGTGCGATCCAATTGTCCTCAAGCAGAATGCAATTGTAAGTAAAACACATGTCTAATTAAAAGAACAAGTGAACAGTGAAAAAGTGGAGCACAGAGAGACAGTCTCCCCTGTCTAAAGCAGAGCCTTCTAAACAAGTGCGAGTAAAATCTGCTTGTATGTAAAACACAGACCTGATTCAAAGAACCACAGTCTAGCATGAACATAGTCAAATCAGTGGGATGTGGCAGTCTTTTGTTATTTGCGAATTCCGCTATGTGCATGTTTTAAACACAAAGAATATATGTAAAAAAATATTTTGGGCCAGACCATGTGCATGTTTTGCTTTGTGTGTGAGTTCGCAATGTGCATTCTAGACCGTAGAGTCATCAAAATCTGAAAGAGCTCAATATGAGATTGACAGCGTTCCCTCAACAGAATATATGTTTCAAGCTTGACCGCCTGCTGCATCCCCTGCACTCACCTCATCCTTGGCCTGGAAGAGATACTTGCCACCATTGGTCAGCCTCAGCTGGAATACAAACGGTCTCTTGGTGTAGTCCGCGGCCACCTCACAGCTGGCGCCAGAGATGTCGATGGCTGCCTCGTGGTGGATCCTGTTGTTGGGGTCCTGGCGAACACAAAGTCAAGGAATGAAGAACACAACTTAATATTGCTCGTCTCGTAGAATTACTGGATTCAGTTTGAGTAAAGAGACATATGTGAGGCGTGCTAATGAAATGAGTTAATTCTCAGATTTTAGCCCTACGGACACAGATAAATAGGTCAAATTTGTACGATTGATTTGCATAATTTATTATATGAAATGATAGAAGACATGTTTAACATGAAGAAAATGGCATCAGCTGAAAAAAGTACAAATTTTAAGTGCCCTTTTAAGGGCAACATCTCCCACTTAAATAGGATAAAACTAGAACTTCCCCCAATATGTCCTTTGTGTGACTATGAAAATGAGACTGTGGATCATCACCTTTTTCACTGTACAGCCCTAAATGACATCAGAGCTACACTTCTCCCTCCGAGACCTAGAGACCTATCATTGACAACACACTCTACGGAACATTACAGCAACAGCAGCAAACCTGCACTTATCACTACATGGCATTGGACAGAAGGGCAAGAGCCCAGCTATTACTGGACCCATAACAACAACAAAAACTCCATTCTTAGACGGCGAGAAGTAACTTGTTTTGTTGGCACACCTCACATATATAGCGACTCGGAAACCGCCATGAAGTGCAGGGAAAGATGGACAGGCAATAGCGTAAGACAGAAAGAAATGAAGTAAATTATTTGAGATGACAAGGGCACTTTTGGACATGCATTTGGTGGAATGAGTAAAATTTGAACATTGCTACGGTTTTGTTCTAAATACAAAGATGCATGCAGGTAAATGTGTACAGTGACAAAAAAAATCCCAACTATTCACAGAACAACCTCATGGCTACATTTCAGGACATGTAGCACAAAGTAATAATATATGATAATGCACCATCATATTTATCAAATCTGTAAAGACTGTACATTCCAACTGGCAGTTTACGGTCATCAGCTGACTAAAAGAAATTTATTTTACCATCTATGGAACTTACAACAACGGGTGAAAGAGCATTTGAATACCAAGGCCCCAAGATCTGGAATGCTTTACCAAGTACTTTAAGAGAGATCATTCAAACATCAGCTGAAGTTGTTTCTGTTTTTAAATTAATAAGACGAGTATTTGGTGTAATTTTCTTTTAGTCAGAACTTGTTTTATATTACTGTTGTACGTTGTACTGTATTGTAAAGCGTTCAGAGCTTATGTACCATAATCAGGGTTGAGCGCTATATAAATGTCATTTATTATTATTAAAGTATGAAAAAAGGTGGAATTCACTCCCATACAAACATTTTTGCAAAAAAATATAAAATTTGCTTTAAAATACAGACATACCTGTTAATGAGATCACTTCAACGCCTACGCACCCATTTCATAATAAAAAATTCATCAATTTCTCTCTCTCTCTGTATATATAGATATGTAATGCTTTTCTAAACTAAACAGAACTGGATTTGTAAAAAAAAACCCAGCAACTTTTTATGTTTTATTCCTTCATCAACACAACTCTTTTTAAGAGAGGAGCCGCTTCAACCCTGAGTATCTTGGCCAACCTAGGCAAATAGGGATACAACCTACTTACTGAAGGACGGAAACAAAATTGTAGCAAATCAAATCTTTAAAAAAGTGTCTGCTATAAAAAAAAACAACAAAAAAAACAAACTAGGTACAATGAAGAACTTACTGTCTTTGCATGTTTCTGATCTTTGTAGCATGATAATGATGGTCCTTGGAGAACAAGGAACAGTTTGTCCCATGATCTGTAAAGAACAATTTTCAGAAAAAAATCAAGGACTTGAGAATGGAAAATTGGCAGCTACAGTAAAGACAAAAAATAGAAACAAAATACACAATCTATTTTTCATAAACTCAGAGTACAATAATACATTTTCACAGAATTCTTTCACTACTTCAAGTTTGGTAGCCAGACAATTGTGATCTCCATGATATCTTAATCCACACGCCTCATTATATACATAAGCGGTTGCTTAATATGGCATCAATATGGTCACTGAATTCATGTTTTGCCCCACAATGTCATAGCATTGCTCCCAGCACCCAGGAGTCTGCCCCTCAGCTTTCTCCAGTGCCTGCCACAAGAGTCAAATGTGATGAGTGACAAGGCAAATGTTTGTTTTAGTGAGCATTTTACGGCACTTGCAACACAATTAGGTCATATAAGTGCCAACAATTAGAGGTGTAACAAGAGAGTAACAAATACAAAAAAAGGAGAGATGATGATAATTAGTTTATGTAAGAGTTTTACGGCACTTGCAACACAGTAAGGTCATATAAGTGCCGAAGATTAGAGGAGTTACAAGCGAGTAACAAACACAAAAAAGAAGGAGGAGAGATCAGGAAATTAGACGTTTGATAAGAAAGAAGGAGCAAACCACATCAGAGCACCGACCAACCACCCACAGATGATGATAGATGCTTGATTTTGATTGGAAAGAAGGAGCAAACCACACCAAAGCACCCGCCAAAAGCCCACAGCAAATGTTTGTTCAAGTACAGAGAGGCACATAAAAAACAAGTCATTTAGCACTAGGAAGCAAGACTGATAGATAGAAACAACAGAGGTGAGGAAAAAAAAAGGAGTAGGATTTGCCCGTAAGACTCTCCAACCGTCAGACACCCTAACAGAGAAGTCAAATATTACAAGAGGCAAGACAGTAAGACCATTTCCTAACCAGTAGAAGTCTAGAACCCCCCCCCCCCCCCCACCCCCCTCATCATTTTTAATTTCATAAGAGTCTTACTGCACTTGCAACATAACAATGTCAAATAAGTGCAGAAGAATAGATGTGTTACAAGTTACAAGAGAGTAACATACACAAAAAAGAAGGGGGAGAGATAAGGACGATAGTTGTTTGATAGGAAAGAAGTAGCAAACCACATCAGAGACTGACCTATTCCCAGCCTTGCGTTCACCGACATCCAGCTCGTGTTTGCGCGACAACATCCCCTCCAGACTGACAGACTCTGATGGCGCTGCTGCTTCTGGAGACACATACAGGGCAAAGGTCAGGGAACTTTCTAAGCTTTGCACAATATTTATAACATAATACAGCATAGATAACATAATTCTTATAACATGGATTGGGTAAGACAAAAGGGAAGTACATTGGCATCACAATCATTAAAAGAAGGGATTAAAAGTAAGGCAGATTGACAGAGAAATAAAACAAAGAAAGGGAAAGATAAGAAGTGACACCAACTTGTGGTGTTTTCGAACCACCACTTATAGTCTTATACAGCAAAACTTTACTTCAAATCTGAGATTTAAATAAGAATCATCCTTTAAAAACAAACCAAAAAAAATTTCATGAAAGGGAAACCACAACATTTATACAAAGGGATGATTATAGACTTGTGGTGTCTTTAACAGCAAATAAAACTTGGTAACATCATGAGCAACAAATATAACCATGGGTTGAGGATGTGCAAAAACCACAGGGGGAAAACTTCAAAAAGGTCCTGAAACTTTTGAAAAAAAAATAATATGTGTAAAGTGAGGGCAGTGAAGCTGAGGAAATAAAATACCGGACCGATATGCACAGTCGTTCAAATTATATGCATTTTTTTCTTAGAAACCACACACTTGAATCACAGTTATCACAGGTAGATCAATTGTAAACGAGAAAAAGGCAAAGAAAATCAACTTCAAAATATTAAGGCATGTGACTACTTCAGATATAATGGACACAGCTGTTAAGCTTAAAAATTACAGTATCTTGGCCGATGTCTTATCAAATGCATCCCTTGAAAGTTTTAATGTTCAATTAGATTGCAGGCAACATTGACAGTCCACTATCTGTGGACTCAAGACAGTCTTCTACAGGGATAGAGATTGCAAGTAATTGTAACCATCTATACCTTTTTAAACACAATTTGTATGATTTAGGAGGTGGGCTGACTGGACCCTGCTTGTCAGGGCCAACCCAGACTGGGTGGGATACAGCATCCCAACAGATAGATGAAGAAACTTGCTACAAAGTTCCCCCCTTTTGGGAAGATACAGAAGACTGGAGATAAGTCTTCCATAGAGGTACAGAGAGCTTAGGCATATCAAAGTAAGTGCAATAACCAACCATCCTTGGACAGCCTCTGAACTTCCTCCTCCCGTTCTCTCCCGAGAGGTGGTGAGGGCTTATCATTCGCTCCATCCTCCCCGTCTTTTTTCCCTCGAAACAGTTTGGCGAAAGGCGAACGAGAACGGGGACGTTTCTGTGGGGTCTCCCCTCTCTCTGGCTCTAGCAATTGCTTTTCCTTCTTTCCACCTACACAGAGGGTGACGGCAACAAAAGTTTGGTCATCAGGAATTCTCTTGGAGCTCTAAAGCACAAAGCTTATCCACAACCATGCCCGTGTCCAGCGTTGTGTTAGGCCAAGCCAGTATACAGCAGGATATACAGGTGGTGCGTAATGGTTTCAAACAAGGTGAACAAACTGATGATATTGCTACAAAAAAATAGGGCTACGTGTAAAAAAATGGAAAAAAAAAGAAGAAAAAAAAGGGCCAAAAAAAAAAAGGGCTGCATTAGGAAGATACACTTTCACCAGGAATATTAAGCACTCTACAATTGAGGCTCAATTAAAAATTTGAAAAGTGCACAAAAGAAGAGAAAAATAATGTTAATGTAGGATAGAAGTTTTATATTCTTGGGTTTTGTTTTTTGCTGTTTAAAAAAAAATATATAAAGCAGGAAAATCCTTCCTCCAGCAAAAACAATAATGGTCAAAACCACCCTTTCCAAGAAACTGGGAATAAACATCACATGCAATTTTTTAAAGCTTTGCAATGTAAAAAAAAGAAAAGGGAGAAAGGGGCAAGTAAAATCAATTCTTTTTGGTCGTCACACAAAAGGCAGCTTTTCAAAGGACTCGTGGTAACAAGATGTTAGTCCGGTTGCTGGAGTGAGTGAGTGTTCCTCAGTGTATCTCACAGAAATCGTTGGACTTCAGTTGTCGTCACTTTGTACATTTACCTGCTCGTCTATGAACTCACACTTTGTACCTTTAACTATTCATCCAAGGATTCACACATGACCGGCTGAACGTTCAAAGAGACAAGGATGGAGACTGAGTCACATTATTGCGGATCTGATCTAAATGTTTAATTACCACACTGGTATCTTTGATCAATTGTCATCTCTACACTGATATATAGCACAGTACCTGGACTTGTTCTCTCTTACTTCTGTTCATATTTTCCTTCTTGCAAACAACATGGAACTAATTTTGTTTCTATCTACATACAAGGTTTATAAGTGAAAGATTCCGAGTCTGTAACTGTAAGATGTCCCGTAAATAGCAAGTCTCTTCTAGAAATTGACAGTCTGGCATGTAGACTTTAAGGCCTTGGAACTGTGTCTTTGTTCCTTTATCTGGTCATCTGGAGATTCACACAAGGCCCGCTGAACGTTGAAAGAGACAGTGATGCAGACAGAGCCAAATGCAGTCATTCTCACAGCATTGTGAATCAGATCTATAGGTTAAATCACCACACAGGAACTTTCCTTCCGATGTCATCTCTACATTGCATTGATATAGTACAACAGCAGGAATTGCTCTCTCTTACCTGTTTCCATATTTTTCCTTCTGTCAAAAACAGAGAATCAATCTTTTCTCCATTTTACTTCAGTTTCCCACCGAATGTTTATAAAATCTCTCATGACGGCACGTCCCTTTCAAACAATGGCAGTTTGGCACAAAGACTTGCAGACCTTGGAAATTAGTAGTTGGGCAAAAAAACTTGACTTTCAGAATCATACACTTATTTTGACAAAAGTTCATTCCAGTTTTTAAAGCCACAGGTGCCAGGCCTGACAAGCATGTTGGTGATGTGCTTGTCATTGACCGAACACTTCATGAGCTTCCACTTTCGGGCTAAAATCATCGGGTACCAAAGAGCTTTCACTTTCGGGCTAAAATCATCGGGTACCAACAATGTACTCTTGCTTGCTCTAGGCTTGTGATTACACCTCCTCCACTTCTTCTACTACATTTCCCTGGTAATGCTCTGGGGTAGCCAGCTCACTGTTCTTCAATCCAAAATGTTTGTAATATAACCTTTATGGTCATATTTTTTACTTACAAACATGTATGGTCTCTAACCTATCAGGTAGCCATGTGTCAAATTTAGAAGCAATCAAAATTCTTTATATAAACCAATTTAGAGTAAAGTCCAAGAAATCATTATTGGCTAAAACATCTAAGAAATGGAACACATCCACAGCAAAAATATTTTTAAAAAATCTTTTCTTTGGTTTGGAATAATATATGCTCTAGTATCTGCTTCTTAACAAAATGGCGCATTTGGTAACCAAAAAGCAGAAATCAGCTCTCTGTGAGCCAATATTCAAAGGTGGACACATGAAGGTCACATGTGGAAGAAACATGTTTTCAACTGCGGCACAGCACAGTCACTCTGCATAAATAAATCTTTACATGAAGTACTTGCACCCATTGCAGCTTGGAAGCAAGTTAGAATCACATTCAACTAAAGGCTCTCTCGTGGATATAGTCCTCAAATTGTTTTTAAAATTATGCTCACAAAGGTGACAAAGTACAAAGGAAAATTTGTCATTAATGCCTCCACAAAAGAGCATAGCAAATGTACTTGTAAATCACAGAGCTTGCTGTCAGTTCATATATGACAAGGCCAACGATTGGGTAGTGTGGCGTAAGACATGACAAGATCTATATTTATCACAAATCAATCAAAGAAGAAGTAGACCACAAAAAGACTAATGCTTTCCTTAAGGCTGTAGTAGGTGAAATCAAGCACTTTAAAAAAGTGTACAAGGACTTTTCAAAGAATGTTGTCTGAAGAATTTTTACATCAAAAGGTTTAAAACATCACAGTATACACAGACCCTACAACACTACAGTAAATGTGTATTAAAGCATGCAAGTCTATGTTAAAAAACAGTTTAAAAAGACATGCTCAAATAGCAACACAATACACTTAGAACATCTATGAGTTTAGTGCACAAAGCCATCACAGCTACCACTAATAACAACTAATGTAGTACAGAAAGGGAACACATTTCTACATCAGTACAAGCAATAAAAAACAAACAAACACAAAAAACAAAAACAAAACAAAACCAACCAAGCCAAAAAAACCCAAACAACAATAAACAAAATATTTATCGCATGCGTTATAAAGTGAAAAACTGAAAAAGAAACAATTTCTTCATAAATGGGTTTTCATTCAACACTTATTTTTCACTGTCTGTACATGCACCGATTCAAACTAATGAATACTTAAATTTGCCTTTCCGATATTAATTCCTTACTGAGAAAAGCTATTAGTACCCTCACAGGGAAAGAATACGATGAAAGCACAGGCACTATTGAGCACTCTTTAGTTGGAAAGATTTTGCTGTAAAACAGAAGAAAGCTTTTATATCACCAACTAAGTTCTTGAGAACTTATCAGGCCCAGTGAAACGTTACTGTGGGCTTCAAAAGTCATGTAAAACTAATTTTGACAATGTCGCTTTTTCCACAGTAACTATAGCTCGAAGTCAAAGAACAAACAAGAGCTCCATTGAGATCCACGGATATAGGCAACATTTCACACCCATTTTTTGTTGTTTAGAAGTCCGAGTTCACTGTACTGAATATCCCTTTTCCACATATCTTTACCCAAACAATTATCATTGAAATTATTAATAAAGGAACACGACCAAAAGATGCTAATATCTCTCTCCATATATTATTATATGAACTGTGCCAGTGTACAAAAAAAATTTCTATGACACATCACATGGGGAATAAGGAAAAAAAAGGATTTCCCTCGAACGAGGTCATTGCGCAGAATCAAAACAAAAGGTAAAAGTTGAAACTTGAAATAAAAGCATTATTCAGGCTGATGGTAATGTGACGTAAAAAAGGGAGTGAGTTTATGGACAGAAAAAAAAAAGCCAACTGACATATTGAAAGGGAAACTAGTTATTCCTTTATGAAAATCTAACATTTTAAAAAGCTTTGATATGAGCTTGATTAATTAAGAATACGTTTGGAGACTAAATTTTAGGCTGTAAGTTTTATTGTAATGTGAGATGGCACTCCATATATTCATATTATATATATATTTTCACATCGAATACACATATAAAAATGTTTTTGTATTTGTCAGAAGGTGAGAAAGCAACAATTGTGTGCTCTGTTGGGCAGAGTGTGTGAGGCAAGCCATGGTAATTTAAACCTACTTCCTCCTCGAGGCTTCCTAGGCGAAGGAGATTCCGAGGAGGGCTGAGGATAGTCGTTGCGGGCGTGAGATCGGCGGTGGAAGGAGTCAGGCTCGTCAACCTCCTCCGCTTCCCTCGACTGGCGCTCCCGACGAGGTCGGCGGACTGAAGCATGCACAGATTACTTCACAACATCAACATGCACAACAGCAACGGCAAAACTACTGGAGGATTAGCATTCTCAACCTGGAGCATGTTTCACAACACCAACACTGAAGTACTGTTCAATAAAAGAAGAGTTACACCGTATGTCTTTTTAGTTTATGTGTAACCCCCAACCCTCATTACACAGATAAAAGAACCCAAACTCTTTTCAGAGGAAAGAACTGAAAACCCCCCCCCAACTAGTATGAGATTGTCAAATTACAAAAAAAACTGGAACCAGCAGAAACTCCTCCCCCCATAGACCTGTTAAGTTAAAATGTACCATAACAATCACCTGACCGTGTTTGACCGAAACCTCTCCTATATCTATTCTCGACCCTCTGACATCTCTCTATTCATGCTCCAGATTCAGAACATCAGAACAGGTAGCAGAGAAACAAGAACAGGAAACAACATGCTTGTTGATTAAGAGGAACAGAGCTCATGCAATGAAAGGGAAGAGACGTAAAGTACAGAGAGAAACCTAGGACTGTAAAGTGCTGAGGAATGTACAGGGTATTGGATCTATTACATCACTACTAACTGGTGCTCATACCCTATCTGACAGAATGAATATGTTCGCAACATCCACAAAAACAAATGGATGATAGAATAATGAACGAACATGACCTTCCTATAAAGCTCGACCACTCCCTTCAGTGCATATCGGTGGTGTTATGCTCTACTGGAAAAAATAGGTTAACTTTTTTTATTGTTGAAGTTAACCTGCTGTTCCTAAAGAAAAAAAAATAAAGAGTCAGTTTGCACTATAAATTGTATTAAAGTACATGGTCCAACGTCTGTGTCTTCTCCCATCATTTATGATTTTTCCTTACATGCTGAAAAAGTTTTAACCCCCCCCCCCCCCCCAAATCACTTGTAGAACATACGACCATCGATATGAATGACAGACTAATGAATGAAGGTGGCCTTATTTAAAAGCTTGCCCACTCCCTTCAGCGCCTACGTTTCTATTTCTATATACAATTGTGCAAAAGATACTTGGTACAGAGAATGCTGAATGGGTTAGGGTGACACTTGGGCCTGAGCACAGAAATACATCCAACACTAGGCAATGCTACAAGCTTCTTTGTTTGTTTGAGCAAAGAGAAGCACATCGACACAACAACAATCATTCAGATCAAGGAAAAAGAAAGACGGATAGACAGGAACAAAAAAGGGAAAGAACAGAAGTAGGACTTAACAGTGATGCCCCCCCAACAACCCGCCATAGATAGAAATAAAACATAGGCTAACACTGAAACCTGTATCATTATTTCTTGAGGCAGGAACAACTCCTTAAATACATCAAATTGTCAGCTTTAAAAAAGTACAGAAAAAAGTCAAAGGAACTTTGAGGGAAGACAAAGACTGACTAAAACAATGATACGTGCAAGGACATAAGGTTTTAATAACAACAACAAAAATGTCATGACCACATCCGTTTCATTAATCCTTGAAAACTTCAAAACATTTGAGTATTTTGAGGCGGGCTTTTTAATTTCTCATTACCAAACTATTAGAACATTTTCAAAAGTCACTTTAAAGGCAAAACTGGCTAATACATAAAAGCAAGGAGGAAAATACATCGAAGCACATTTTGGGAAAACTAGCCAAAACAATTTACACTGAACATGGTGCTTTTGATCAAGTGACCTATGGAACAAGGCTATGAACAGATGAGTCAACGAAATGATTAACACAACAAACATTTAAGCGGTAAAGCCAAGTCAGATGATAGACCATTCTCTTCAGAAATCAATAGTTTCAGTACTTCAGCGCACAAACAGCACATGATATAGAAAACTTTCGGGTCTCTTGCGATGTTAATGTCCACCATTTCCCATAACTTTCTGTAAGCTGCTAGTCTCTCCATAAACTAGAAAAAACTATGGGTAAACAACCCATACATTCTTAATACATGACTGAAGTTGATGGTTCTAGAAGAGAATGATCCAAACGATGAACAACATTGAGAAGATGACAACACAAGGACTCCAGAGCACAAACCTCCAGCATCTGTCTCTGACTTCTCCTCAGAGCTGATCGGCTGACCGACGGCCTCTTCCACTGTCTCTGGGGCCACTTGGTTGTCTGGGGCTGCTGCTGCTACCGGCTGCTCCACCTCCACCACTGGTTCTGGTCTGAAACACATGCAAGTGGGGAAAAGGCGGTTAGAGGGTGTCGCTGAAAGGTGTCATTAGTAGGTTCAGCTTTTATATTCTCCCATGTTCTTTCTATCAATCTTGCTTTTCGACACTGGAAGTCCCACTTCTTTCCTCTATCTTTGTTCCTTATGTCTATAAATCTTGACTTGTTCCCTCTGATTAAATCGACATTGTTGAGTTTATGTGCCACTAGTACTCAAGCAAACTAAAAGAGGACTGGGTGGTTGCAAGATGCACTGGTATGTCCTTCTTCTCCACTCACCCACTATTCTTTCTATCCACCTTAGGGACCCCCCCTCCCCTCCAATAAGTAAACTTTATTACTTTAGTACATCAGTGAATTTCTATATTTACTCTTACACTCTTACTCACAAGGTGGAACTGACGGAACAGCGGTTGGAGGGTGCCCTTCGTACGTTCTGCTTGTTTACTCTGCCTTTGTTCTTTGTCTAACACTTAATGATCTTTATTGCATCTATATGCTTCTATTTACAAAAAAAACCCCACAAGATGGAATAGGCCTCAGTCAGGGGTTCCCTTGCCTGGAGACAAGGTGCTAACCTCTTGTGCTTAAGTCTCTAGTACAATTTAGGGTTTGAGACTGTGGTAAACATCAGAACTTTTTTATCCGGCATTTAACACTCTTAGTCCCCGAGCCGGTGGAAAGTCTCTTGTCTTTTGCGATACAGACAGAAATATATAACATTTTCAGTACCCCCTGCCATTTGACACAGCTCTTACTTGGGTGGCTCGGGAGGTAAGAATTCCTGAATGTACTGTCGTCTCCTCTCTTCTTTCTGTTTCTCGATCTCGTCTGGATGACTCTTGCCGTATTCCTCCGCCTTCTTCTTTTCTCTATCTCTGATTTCAAACTGAAAGACCATGTGGAAATATCGATGAAGGCACATCAAAACAGACATAAAGAATTTGTAAAAATTCTACCACAGGCACTGAAAGAACAGAAAACTAAAAAAGAGAACTTTGCTAAAACAGCATATCACATTTTTTTAAAAAACCTATGAGTTAAAAAAGCCACATTATCACAACTCTTTCAGGATAAAAAAACGTATGGTTTATGTTCTAAAAATATGACACGTTCTGTTGCTGATCCATTAGGTGATCATAAAAACCTTCCACAAAATTTAATAAGCAAAAAAGTGACCAAATTTCATGTTCTTTCTTTACTATAAATAATCTGGACATAAAACCATTTAGTTCAAGTTATGATAAAGCAGTGACAACAAAAAGAAGACAATAGATCCCTAACAAATCACATGAAAAAATTATACACACACACGCAAAAAAAGAGGTTATCCCTTAAAACAACTCACAAATCAAATTGCCACATACCGTAGTTGGTTTGAGGAGGGCAGCAAATCTTTCTTCCTGCGTAGCTGCAGACTTTTCAAATGCTTCATGTTTCTTCAATAGATTCTCCACAGCATCCAAAGTGTCCTGTCATTGATCAAACAAAACATTTTTAATAATGTCAAATAATATGAATATGTACATAATTGTTCTCCACATGAACATTTTCTAGAAAAAAATACTGAAATGCCTAGAGCGAGTACCTGTTTATTTGTTTAAATAAACACATACACAACCACACAATAATAGTCGCGCTGTGAAAAAGTGAGAAAGAGAAAAAGAAATTACAACCGGAAAGATTTTAAAAAATACGACCTTCTAGTAGGGCCCACCAACCGCCCGCCAGACCCATTGGCTCATATTTCAAACTGTTTCCATTGTTGAATATCACATGTGACATACGGATTACCTTTGCTTGCAAACACGCTGTGACAGAAGACATTACCAGAGTTTTGAACCCATTTTCAATTTTCTGGCGTGGGATGTATGTGTGGGGAGATCTGTTCAGATTTTCTATTCCATGGACCACAATTGATTTACAATGAATTAAGTCTCCATCAAGTTTGTTTGTTTGGTTCAGTAGAGAAAAGCACATCCACACAGCAATAGCTATTCAGTGTTGGAGAAAAAACAGACGACATAAAGGAACAAAAGAGACTTTAAAAAAGTAAAAACTACCAGCAACAGCCTCTAACCACCTGCCCCAAATCCGATATGCTTTCACTTGCCACAATATTGAAAAGATTTTTTAAAATGAGACACTAGATATGAAAAAGGACCGATGAGACCCTTGAAACCCAAACCCTCACATTTGTTAGAGGGACAAAAATCTTCCAGGGACTAAATACGACAGTTAAGACACTTGAAACACTTACACCCAGATCTTGGTTGGACAGATAAGGCTCTTGCGCGATGAGCCACGCCTCGGCCACAGCAGCATCTCTGGCAAACTGGTACACCTCCAGGACTGTGGACAGAGAGAGAGCGGGGACAGTCAGGTGAGAAAAGTGAAGGGTGGAGAACACCAACTCATACCAAAATGCCATGCATGCAGGTGTGCCAGGTGGTGCGTGGGAAAATATTTTGATAAGTAGTAAAATATACACGACTTAAATATTTTACTGAAGTTGAAAGTGAACTTTCACATCAGGCAATGTACTGACGATGTGCGTGCATGAGCGAAAAAACTCCAACCCTATCTTTCAGTTCAAAGATCATCAAATTGTGAATGCTACAATCTTAAATCACTTTTTCGATCAGTCTACTTCAATTCAGAACAGCATTATATTATACAGGGATGCCATACTCAGACAAACATGTAAAAGAAATCGCAGAAACACAGATACTTACTGAGCTGCAAATGTTCCCATCTCTCATTCCACAAGTCTGTCATGTCGAGTCGCAACAAGGTCAGTTGGATGAGTTTCTCACGCACCTGAGACCACAAGAATAGGGGTGAGATACTGGAGTCTGACCCAATACATGTAACTATTTAATTGTAATTGACCCTGACAAAGAACAAATCATAAAGCATTTACATCCAATCTCAGTCAAAAGAAAGTTTACAATTCAAGTAATGCGCCAATGCCTTTAACGGCTCATAAAATTTCATATCCATGTGTGTTTTTGAACCAATTTGACTAATCATAGCAAAAAATTTGAACAAACAAGGGCACCCACAAGTTATCCAGCATCATTAGATTAACTGCAGCCACAGAAAACCAAAATAGTTTGAATATGAGTGAAGATTTGTCAAAATAATGAATCAATCCCAACCTGTTCTTGTTTGTAGTGCTGTCGGTTGAGCAAGTCGCGACCCAGATTGATACAGATGGCAAAGTTCTCCTCTCTAGCGTCAATCTCTGCCTTCATACTCTGGTGGTTGTTCATCAGCAACTCCACTCCAGACACATCCCTGTAAGTAACAAAATATATGTCATCATGTATCACAATTAATATGCCTGACTTAATGAACAAGTAAAAAACTACTATCTAGTTTGCATGAAAAGCATACGTACCTCTCTTTAAAAAAACCAACTAAATAAAACAATGAATCGACAGTGGGGCATGGGATAGAAAACTGGAATGGGCAAAACAAATTTAAAAATTAAAATTTTCAGACACTGAAAACTCTTTCAAGCAGTACGATGTGCACATCTCCAAAAAGTGATCTAAAATTAGACAAAATAACTTTTCATAGCAGTGCTGGTTACATGAAATCAGTGCTGCATCGGAGATGTAAAATAATTAGACACCATAGTCGAATGTGAAAATTCACTTTCGAAATCATTAAAATGTACTAGTCACAAATAAATACTATTGAAATTGTTTCAGATGGCCATCCATTGTTAAGGAGAAAAGTGGTTGGCTTTGACAGCTGGACGTCTTCAACAGTGTCATTATAATGAATTTAAAAAACCCTAAAGAAAGTCGTAAAGGGGGTAAATGGGAAATGACCCTTTGGACAGGTTATTGTCTTATTGAGGTGCCCATTAGAGCAGGCTTAACTGTATTTGCTAGACATCCCAAATTGTTTCGTGTGGTGACCCACCGTGGCTTCTCCTGCGTGTTCATCTGTCTGGTGATGTCATCGATCCACAACAGCAGGTCCCGGGCCATCAGCATAAACCTGTAGTAGTCTGAGGCGTCGGCCAGGGTCAGACGTCTACGCTCCACTAACACATGGAGGTTCTTCCACGCCTCTAACACCTCCGCCTCACGGTCGACGATGGTCTGTGCATTCTCTCCTGCATAGCCCGCTTGCAGCCGCAGAGACTCTGTCTGGATAGCCTCCACCTAGAAGGAATGTTAACATGCCATCAATGTCATTTTAACCAATCTAAAAAACAAATCATAAGGAGATTATATCGCATATTTTTGTAGAAAGAAGGAAAAAAAATCCCAATAAGGATAAGGATGGAAAATAACTTATGTAACGACAAAGGAACAAACAAATTTGAGATTAAAAGAGCACACAAAAAACATCTTTTCTGTCTGTATCCTATTCTCACATCAAAGACTATCAAATAAACAATGGACACCATCTGAACTATTGTCCTTAAAAATTCATTGGCTGGACTAACTAGGCTATCTTGAACAAAAATGTTAAAACTTACAGAGAAAAAAAAACATACCTGAGTTCCCAGTGTGACCAAGTCATGTTCAAAGTTGGCGTGCTTTCTCTGTAGAGCAGCCACACTCTGGGCATCACGGCCCAACTCCTCGGGGATGTAGTTCTGCTTCTCCTGTGAGACACACAATCATGTTGGCGTTGGTTTGAGTTTGAGTAAAGAGAAGCACGCATATTGACACAATAACAGTTAATTAGTGCTGGGAAATAGCTAGACAGACAGAAACAAAAGAGGAATAGTAGAGAAGAAGGGAGTAACAGCGACGCCCTCCAAACAACCACATTGCTTCCCCCGAAATATACCCAAGTCAAATGAATGAATCTGCAAAGTGCCTACAAACAATGAGTTCTTCATGTTTAGTTCATCAGTTTAGCATCTTCAACAAAAGTTCTTCTAAATTTCATTTTAATCAAAGAGTAAATACC